TATATATAATCACGACGAAACACCCTTGGGCAAAACTGATGTGAACTAACCAAGTATGAAGGATAAGGTATTACCTAACCCTATTCAACCACATACTCACGAAGCCAAACAGAAATCAATACCATAATGACAGAGGCGTAAAGCGGTCCAGGAAAGTGTGATAGCGGGAATGATCGTAGTGGACGAATTGACAAACTGTGGAAAGCAGCAGATGTGGACAAGAATATGGTGGTAAGAGAGTGGCAAAACTAAGCCGCGGGTGGGCTGGGTTGAGTACATTTCACTCTACCCTACCTTTAGCTCCTCAGAAATGATTAATAGTGAAAAGTCGTTTCTAGTGACCGCTCTTAATGCAATCGAAATTACCGTTTTCTCTTCTTTAGGCTGCCACATGTCAGCCTTTGCCCCTGCGACCCATGGAAACAGGTGAAACACTAGCATGTCATGACCAGTGAATGCTTGTAATTCTAGCGCCAAAATGTGGTTGGCGCTCTCGTAAACTCGGGTGACTTAATAGTCACCATGATCGGCGTGTCACAGAGTACGACTGCCAACGTAAACAGGTATAGCACTGTGTTCGGCAACCTACTTTTTGCGGAGCGAATTGAAATGTGCACCATTCTAACCAAGCAGGGAAGCCGTATCAAGTGGAAATTCGTGCATCAAATATAAGGATGCTATTGTGAGTGCGTCTGAAAAATACTGATGATAGGGTGATCGCGCGACCGTCAGCTATCACCACGGGGAAACATCCGCTCCTTCACAGCCTAGCTACTTCAACATGATAGGGTGATCGCGCGACCGTCAGCTAGCACCACGGGGAAACATCCGTTCCTTCAAAGTGGAAACTAACTTTTGCTTGAAAAAACTCCGCATGTGGTCAGACTAATCGTCATAGAAAAAGGTTGCTTCTACTTCTGAGTGGATACGAGCAAGCTCGGGACCATTTCAGATTAAGCTTTATCTACAAGTTCACTAACGCTTAATGGCGTTCAAAGCTGTGCATTCGGAGTTAGACTGAATCAGCCATCGGACAGAGGCTATAGAAGGTCACTTGGTCCACCAGCTGACAGATGCAAGCGGTGATTAAATGAGCTGAAACGCATGGAGTGGGCACACAGATAAAGCATCATGTGAAATTTAGTCTGGTGTCTGTCACTGAATAATTCCGGACTGTTGTTGGGATATTGTTAGCGGCAAACCACTTTGGTCGATCAGCCCGTCAGTTTCATATTTAAGCAAGTTTTGCCAACTCAGTGGCTGGCAGGGGCAGAGAGATAAATAGCGACAAACGGAACGAAGGTTACCAAAAGGGAAAACGAAACAAAGGAAGTAACGGGATTGACCCAACGAAAAGAAGGATATTGAGGGAAGTGGAAAAGCGGGACCTACCGCTACTTCTACGATATGCTTAGAGATCGTTTAGTAGTTGATGTGAGAGACACTCGCACACACCCGTGTTTTCTTGCTGACAGTAAATTAACTTGGAAATGGCCTACGATACTGCAGTGGCAATGGAAGCAGCAGAAAATAACACAACCCTGTTACAATCTGTGCAAACTCTTTGACACATCGAGGCGGATACTACAGGTGGACCATCAAGCCGATGAACTGCGATATGCTGTACGTAGAACGGAGAGGGGTGGGATTGCCAGTAGCTGGATAGCTTCGAACTCTAAATGAGATATAACCAACGTAATTGTTCATAATGGCAGTTATTTCGTTTCAGGGAACACTTTTTCGGTGTGATATAGTGCAAAGCGACTGCTGAGTACGAAACTGTAACTGTGACATAGGACGAAGCCATGGGAAATCAAGCAGCACCGAATTTCGTGGCAAAACACCGTGAGCAGGATAATCGAATATATATAACTGTTGTGTGGAAAACAAGGTGAAGAATTTGATGTGATCAGCCTCAGTGCACTGGCTACGAATAAAACATTTACCGGGAGTAAGTTGTCTAGACGGAACATGCCAGTTCGAAAGTTGAAAACTGATAACCCACGACCGGGATTACCGTCCTTGGGACTCATCAGGTGGGCACAGTCGCCAGTTTTTTGTCAACCTTGTGTTTTAATTAGACCTAAATTGCACGCCATCTACCAAACACGTTTACTTTCGCGTTAATTTGGTTTGTGCATCACATACAGTCGAAAAATAACATTAGGAGCAAGAAACCCAACTGGATTCAGTTGAATCCCCCGGTCAACAATACACTTACCCGTCGTGCAGATGGGACTTCAATGGCAATCGGGACAACGCTGGCCAATATGCATCCGTAAAAAGCAGCAAAAAAACTGATTGGTTCGTTATTCGCATAGACCAAAGCCACGCGATCACCCGGTTTCAGACTTTGTTCGCCCCTATGCCCAACTTTGTTCAATAACATATAGGCGATTCGAATGGAGCGCTGATGAGGGAAGAAATCGGGATTACCAAAATCAATGAATCTGGCTACGAGTGGCGTCCATCACTGGTTTTAACTCATTATGCCCAACTTTGTTCAATAACATATAGGCAATTCGAATGGAGCGCTGATGAGAGAAGAAATCGGGATTACCAAAATCAACAAATCTGGCTATGAGTGGCGTCCATCACTAGTTTAAACTCATAAAACATTAAAAACACAGCATGCTAGCCGAAGCGATGGTTTTATTGCTTCATAATCTTACCTGACAGCCGTCTGGAGTAGCAGGCCTCATGATGAGCTACATTAGTCCTATGAGGACTCAATACGTGACTCAATATTCAATACGTGAGGTTTCATTGCTAAAAAATACAGATGATTAATTGGTGTTGAAGATGGATCGTTGGAACTGATGGTACTGGTAGTTTGAGTTTTCAGGCGTAAGTTGGATAGTCCGATTTGACCTTACCGAAAAACAACCCTACCTAGATCCGTATCGTCTTCAAGGCAGAAGACAACGAATAAATGGGTCATGGTGGGGAGGACAGACTGAAGAACCGTAACGGGAAGGAAGAATTAACTCAAAAAGTCCACTGTGTGGAACTATCAATAAAGATTTTGGTATGGAGTATGTGTTATGATTCAAAAAAGCTGAGGATTATATACACCAAACGCCCAGAAGAGCTAATCTACACTACATATGATTTAAGGAGGAAGCTGAATGAATAGTGACGAAGCGAACGGTACTATCTGAACGTACCGAAATATGATCGTGACTCTCACTGTACCGTCACAAGTGTCAAGAGAAACGCCATGTTGCAAACGGTAGAGAGCGCAAAAAGTTAACGGTTTCACATGCGCAAAGCTAATTGACCAAAACAAAATAGGATATGAAGGTTACCGACCATACCGGAGGAGGGATGTGTCCATTACCACAAATAATCGCAACATTCACGCAGACTCGGGCAGGCTGGAATGAAATTCTCTGTGTCATACCATATCAATGCAACCCTTTATTGATCTAGTCAGCTGGTGATCACCACTAGACACACTCCATTACGGATGTAATTATGTTCCTGAAACTGAGATGACATTGACTACTTTCGACGTAAACGATACGTCAATGATGAGCAGTGCAACAAACTTGGATATCAAGATAATGTGGGATAGTTAAAGCAAAATGCCCAACAATAGTTGAAGCTACAAGCAGACTAATGACTATGGTATGTCGTGTCTAAAAAGACAGAGGAAGGCGAACAAAGTTTTCCTAACATAGACGTTTTAAGTCGACCGTTTGTAAAATAGAAACGATATGAGGAAGACAACGGCAAGCCCCTAGGTTTTGTATCCGCTCGAAAACTAGGTGTGGTACTTTAGGTACAACGCGCTGGATGTACATGCTTCCAACATCATCCGTCAGAACACTAATAACTGGTTGATTGATACACTCAGAGCTTCTGAGTAAGAATATTTAGGGGTCTACCTAGATGTTTCATTTGGCTCTAAAACGAAACCACCGGACTCACGGAGCAGAGCAAGCCGTCAAAGTTAACCACCGAATAAGTTGAACAGATACCCTCACATAGAATCAAAACATGAGGTAAGGTCATGTCGATCAACATGGCACCTCTAGGTGAGATGCGCACCACAGTGGTTCCCAACAAAGATGAAGCGGTTTTACAGTGTCTCTAGGTTTTTTCAATACTAACCGAATCCACCTAAAGAATGAAATATCGATTGAGCTTTCAGAATCACCTCACTTCTAATAAACACTGATTGAACCCATAGGTACCGACGTCTCCTAGACAAGCTTGTCATTGAAGTCGGACTAAAAGTTGAACAGCACGGGCTTTCGTATTCATCGATATCTGTATAATTGATTACTTTTAGTCGCTAGGATGAGGCGATGACAGTCCGGAAACTTTGTTACCGAGACCAGAGACCAGAAGATCCAAATTCCCGATTAACAAATACCGTGGAGTGAACAGTGAGCAGTGCAGCTTTCGGACACTCAAAACAGGCACTATTGTGAATTTCTAAAACACACTTACTAAATCCGTTATACACGAACACGGGCTTTCGTATTCATCGATATCTGTATAATTGATTACTTTTAGTCGCTAGGATGAGGCGATGACAGTCCGGAAACTTTGTTACCGAGACCAGAGACCAGAAGATCCAAATTCCCGATTAACAAATACCGTGGAGTGAACAGTGAGCAGTGCAGCTTTCGGACACTCAAAACAGGCACTATTGTGAATTTCTAAAACACACTTACTAAATCCGTTTGTCTATACACGAATGGAACAGTGTAGCAGACTACTGTGTCGTTGTTGACGAAAGAGAAGGAAGAAAAAGGATTCGGTAGTAAATGAAGTGTTCTAGAACTGCCAAAACACTCTCCAGCAGGGCTAGAAATAGTGACAGTGATGAAGAGCATATCTTATGATCGATCAGACAGACACACTGGATGCATACTCACCTGAAGCAGTTTGGCGTAGGTTAGTACTTGTGTGGGGCGGCCACCGACATCCAAACAGGTTAGAACAGGTGTTTTGCAGCTCAGACCGGCATACCTTTGTAAAGCGGACTCTAGGTTACGGGGCAATCCTGAAGGAACCTGAGGGTAGGGGGAAGCGAAACACGCATAGAATTGAAAGGATAATCATTGTCCACTGGGGGCCAAATAAAGCTGACATGTGGGAGTCGGGAGGTACATGCAGCACCCACAATAGTGATCCTACTGGTGTGTTTGCTGATAGAACGAACATTTATATTCCAGATGAAGATTTCGTCCTGTAAGTGAAGCCAAACTATGCTGAAAAGCTTTTCAACATCACTGAGTTTCCAAATCACCTCACACTACCGGCATTGCATGTAAACATTTGAGAGGATAGCCAACTGAGATGTTAGGATTGAGAAACAGAAGGTGAATTCAATGTAATGGATCGACGCGGTGATTCTCCTGATCGAAAAGTGCGAGGCGTTGTGGAGGAATGGTTGTTTACGGGGTGTCAACAGTTCACAGTGCGTGACGACATTGAGCATGGTGATTGGTTTTGAAAAGAACTCCTCGGGGCAAAATTTACAAGCTACCTGACAAGTCTAAACACCGGGTAATGTTTACGAAAGCACTTTCGCGTTTCAACTAATGTTCAACAAGACAGAGCTAGCGACCAATTTCAAGATGCCCAGGAATCCGGTCTGGAAAGCTCTACCGCATGATTTTAACTAGACTACCATCGATTCTTTCGATCGCTTAATCTGCAAGCATTCGTTCCTTAGTGTGTATTGGAACATATAAATCTGACATGTTTTTCGCGGCGTAGAGATGCGTAGACAGTCTACATCGAACTTGCTTGGAATAATTTTCGAGAGAAAATATGAAAGCACAGTCGCGACCATTGACACTTGTGTGCAGGTGGGTTTGAGCTTGTCCACGTGAACTACGTGGCACAGTATTCGGTTCTCACATGATGAGGGGCAGAGGCACTATAGCACCTGTCTAGGATCGCTTCAATAATGCTTATATTGAGTCCTGTGAAAGCATACCTCGAGTGCAAAGGAGCCATTCAGCACACAGTCACGTAAATCCTGCGAATGAAGGATGAGTGCTACTACATGGGAGTTAATCACACTACTGATCAGCAACTCTTGGCCGAAAGGTTTCGTCTCAGCCACTAGCGGAGGGTTGAGAGTTCGTAAGAACCTGGAGGTTACTGAAATGAACCGTGATCGTGTTTCCAAATAAGGATGAAAGAGCCGTGCAGTGGCTCTTGGCTTTTCTGAATACACTAGATTCACTTATATGATGAAATCCCGAATGAATTTTCAAAGTCTATTCATACTACCAGCAAAGTCCATTGCCACGTAAGCAACTACCTAAATTTGAGAAATATCTTAAAATCTGGTGCTTCTTCACAGTTCACCGCTGAACCACTTCACTGATAGATTGCACGCGGTATTTCAAGCGCAGAACAAGTAGAATATTCAAAACTATTTCAAGCGCAGAACAAGTAGAATATTCAAAACTGACTACTTTTTTTACATACATAGGGACCCTGTGTGATGTAAACAGCTACGAAACTCAGTATCAGCAAATCTAGCAAGCCTGAAGAATTCGGCCATTTCGTAACTAAATTTATTACTTCAGTGTAATATAAACTACTTTTTGAATGTGACTTCCACTAATGATTTCCAACTCTAGAAGGCAATTAACAATCCCATGCACTTTTCAAGATGCACAGACAGTTCTTGGCGCCTTTCTACTCAACTCAGAAGCTGTTTTCTATACAAGATTAATGGGGCTTCCATATCTCCGGGAAGTGACCGACGTATGTCGGTATCGGCCGATTGATAGAGAACACACTTCGGTGTACCGGGTGCGACCGGAACCACCCAGGAATACTCAAGCATCGAACCGGGGCTCTTTGTCGTGCAGGTACATGTAGATAACTTGAACACAAGTACAGTGTGTAGATCAACCTTAAAACCAACAAAAACATACAAATAGCATTAAGCATAGCTTCTTTTTGAATGGAAATCAAATTGATTTGTGTAAACTGTGAATTAGAACCCGGAGTTAAATGGAACTTAGTGTGCAGCTGTTCAAAACCACTATTCTGTTAAGGCAAGATATCCAACAGATGACAGTCTGCTAATGTCAAGGACACGAAAAAACAAGTAGCTGTGAGGATACAAGAAGGAAACCAACGTACCACGAGTTCCTCACCGCGCAAAGGTTGTGACGGAGGACCGTGTGGACGTGGTGCGGACGGATCGACCACCGGCCGAACTAAAACTTGATCCTCCTCGTCAAGAAAATATTCGGGTAGCGGACGACGTTTTGGTCGTTTCAGGGTATTCACAAGTTGCTGAATCTTCTCAGACACGCGGTTTGGGCATATCAGACCGAGTTGGGAACGGTCGGGTTGTGAAACACCGGAGTCGCGATGTGATGAAGCATGGTCTGAATGTTCAGCAGCGTCAGTGTTTTGGAAACTGGCTGCCGAGGGCAGATTCATAGCTGAAGAAAAGGTACTTTCCATGGGCTGTCCGGATTCTAGCCAAGGAGATGAGGGGTCGTGGTGACCAGCACTGGTGGGAGGAAATAGACTGGCTGGTATGGTGGTATTGGGAGGTAAAACATTCACGCCACCAAACACAGGAGTCTTATGCGGAGTAGAGGTGAAGTGTTCGGGAGGAACATTGCTGTACATTGCGGAGGATGAAACGGCTGTGTGAAACAGAGGGGGGGGGGCAGAAAATTAAGCGATGGAGGGATTTTTAATCAGAGAAACGATGAGGAAACATCTATGTCATTCAGGGACTAAAGCTGATCATCAATGGTTTGCGTGTCTTGGATGATTACATGAAGGTGAGGACACAATGTGAAAAAGTTTAAACAGCTACAAAGCTGTTCTGTTGGTATGAAAAGCCGGAACTACTGCTAAAGCAGTGGTTCGAACCTGACCTCTGCATCTCAACTTCGCCTGTCTAGGCTTGGGCCACCCGGTAAAGTCCTAGTCCCCGTGCTTCTTCCGGGTGGCATGGCAGCTAGGTACCGAAAGGGTGCTACAGCTGAACGACTGGAGCATTTGTCAACTTTACAACAATTCAAAATACACCCCACATGATAAGCCTCCAACGATTCAGCCATCCAGGTTTCCCACAAAGTTTAAGGTTTTTGTTTGACACGGTCTACTGTAAAATAGAACTACGGAGTGAGAGAATTTTCGAAATTCCAATAAATTAACCAAAAAATATCAAATCACCATTTGAACGCTCAGTTGCAGTTTTGGAAGTAGGACCTACAAGTAAACCGCAGAAGCCCCTATTAGAGAAAGTTCACACCAAGGGACGAGTCCGCAATTCAGAGCTGGCGATTCCTGAACCGAACATTACATTCCAGACGAAACGTCACAATTCTAGGATTAAAGCAAGGGAGGGATCAGACTGTTAGTGGGGTGCGGATTTGCCCGACTGATTCGAAGGAAAAACACTATGACAAGCTCGGAATCTGGTGTACGCGAATAACAAGGAAGTTGGCAGAGCATGACTCACGGACGGGAGACGGCATGACAAATCAATGGTGCGTGGCGTGTAAGGTCAACCACAAGCATGATTGATGTGGGCGAAACGCTAGACGTCACATCGAACGGACAAGCGGAGAGAGATACAAACAAACAAAGACGGATGCGCGCTACTGCGTGTTACAATTTGATGAATAAGCTTTAATTTGTATTCGTTTCAAAAACAGCCCTCTTGAACATATATACAGGACCCGTCCTCTCTATGAACTGGATATTTTGATACGACGTGCAAAAAGACAAAGCATTTCATCAGCTTTGCTACCTTCCGTGAAGTCTAGTGGCACCAATACATAAATCACCGCAAGATATCTGTTTCTCCAAACTCGCAATAAATTCACTGTCTTTCAGGGTAGCCACGAAGATGGGGAGTGATCCGTTTGGTTTGCAAATCGCAGACATATCCATCAAGCCCACAACATAGACCGAAGGCTTCCGTCGTGCGACCACCCGATCAGTATTGATGAAACATTTCAGACGATCGAGGAACAGGATGAGTTGAACAGGGTGGACTAACACACTAATGCTGAAAATTCCTCGACAGCCCAGGACCGCTTTCTTCCTTATCGGAGCTCATAAGGTAGACACAGTCCCCGAGTTTCCGTCAACCTTATGTTCAATTTGAGACCATATTACACGAAATTAGCGAAATACACTCATTTGCAACCAAATTCGGTTTTCCGAGAGACTCGCCTGGAACCCAGCTGAATCTCTGGTTTACTGTGTCTCTAAGCAACTGAATATAGTGCACCAGTCTGTTTCACATTCCAGTTGCGACGATGTTCGATATATCGCGATAAATGTATAGACATGCATAGAAACATCACAGATGGTTCAGCTGGTTCCACGTGTATCTCCCGCAAAACCAAATTTGGTTGCAAATGAGTGTATTTCGCTAATTTCGTGTAATATGGGCTCAAATTGAACATAAGGTTGACGGAAACTCGGGGACTGTGTCTACCTTATGAGCTCCGATAAGGAAGAAAGCGGTCCTGGGCTGTCGAGGAATTTTCAGCAACCTTATGAGTAGTGCATTACGTCTCGAATATCGTCGCAACTGGAATATGAGGCGGACTGGTGCACCACATTCAGTTGCTAAGAGACATCATAAACGAATTAGCTGGGTTCCAAGTGAGTCTCCTGCAAAACCGAATTCGTTTGCAGATGAGGATGGACTATTATTACCATCATCACCAGTGACACGAATACGGAATGGTAGGGTGCTCAGTAGATCAAACTACACTCAAGATCGAGGAGTTATTTTTGTCCACCCTAGTGCTAGGTAGGAATGACTGACGAACGAACAGTCTACGGAATATAACCTGTTACAGTCTAGGGTCTGTGACAATGGAGTGAGCTCAGTCAATAAGCCCAAACTGGCTGACAACTGCAACCTTCTTGAATGCGGACCTCTGTCGAGACATATCAACAGTTCCCGACCACCAGATAGAACCCAGCCATGCAGCAAATTGAGCTAGCACATTAAAACTGCCGCCATTAGTGCATTGATGTCCCACTTACTAGTTCATTAGATAACTATAGCAAACCGACTTGGACGAGCTGACTAGAACATCGCCTCCAATTGGTAGTCGTTTCTTCCTAATGCTCGGATTTCTCCGTGGACGAAACCGTAACAAACGGAAACTACGTATTCTTGGCAAATGGTCTATGACCAAACAGCTGAACTGAACGGAAAAAAGCCGAGGAGCTACAAGTCCCACCAAAGAAGCTATCCGTTACACAGTAATATCTTTGTCCAAGTTGACTCACTTGCGTTGATGTTCCACATGGATGGTTGCCCATGTGAAGTGGGAGGAAGATCTGAGTTGGTCTGGTACTGGGGTTGCTGTGGTACAGACGCGAATTCAGGTGAAACGAGATTCAACTGTGCGGCTGCTTGAGCGGCCAGCTGTTCAAATGAGTCTGCAGAACACATGCCAACCGGTTCCGGAATATAAGTGCTTGTGCTTGACATTGGCACCAGATTGTTGTCTAATCGCGGCTTGTTGAGATGAAGACCTGTATGTTTGGGAAGGTGTTGACGAAAAAGTCGAGGATAGGAATATAAACGCCAAAAACTCAGCTGAGTAGGGAAAGATCAAATCAAACTAACACTACGGTTCGTATTACACTCAAAGGTGCACCACATGCTCGGCCGCTTTTCAATCTGATTTGCTTCTCAAAATAGTTAGGAGAAATTTCGCGGGAAAAAAACTTCACATGGAAGGATATCTCTGCTCAGAGAGAACTTCACGCCAAATCGTGTCTAGGAGCAGAATGTTCTTTTGGCCTCTCCAAAAGAGTCACCCTGTTAGGCTGAGAAAACGGATGCTCAACAACCGATATAAAATGTGCTTTAATAACAAGTCACCCAACATAACGGTAAGCCTTTGGAGGTACTCACGTCAAAAAAACAACAGTGTGGATGTAGCTCAATGCTGGGACCTGATACGCAGAGGTTACCAAAAGGTGGGGAAGGATTGTTGTCACCATTCACCAGCGTATCACGTGCCCTGTCAGCCCTCGTCACAATCTGTCGACTCGCTCATGTAGGAGAAACCAAAATCTGGTCAGGTCAACTGTGGTGTTTCTTAGGTATTAGTGGATTTATGGTAGAAGGAGGTCATCTGAAACCCGTTCACCGAGAGGTTCTTCGGTGTACTTCAGTATATTGTGGTTTTTGGTATGAAATCACTGGGACATGAGGACAATTTGGAAGTTGTTAATAAACCGGTTTTCAAGGAGCATACATAAATCACGTACATCATTACGGGATATCAACGGTCATGCAGGTTTCGGATGATTCTGTTGCCGAATAACTCATCATTCCAACTAGAGGCCTGCTCGATTTTATTATATCATACGAAATTGTTCACGTGAAAAAAATGCGAGTGGAAAACGACTGTCACTTGCCAGATAGCACGGGAACGATGCGTGTTTCAACAGGTAAACAGCTACACCCGGAAGCCAAGGGAATGGTTATCACAACCGAGTAGCTAAATGGATACAAAGTCTCGTAGAAACTGTACCTAACGCTATGCACAGCAGTTGCCATACTGCTATAAATCTAGTCTAAGGCAGCATTCATAGAATTATTATGATCCGTAATGTTCGCACAAAACGGTCCCCATTTTTCACCATTGCTGTTAAGTATATCTGCAGAGACATGGTTTTGTTTGAAAACGCACGGATTGTGGATATGGAAAAGAAATAGTGAGCTTCGAATTCTCGGATTCCTCGGAACATAACGAAGGTTATCAAGTGTGGGTCATGTGTTCTGGATAGCAAACATCAAAAACGCCCATGCCAGACAAGTATGTGATAAGAGTTGAGAGAACGGGATGTTGAATGTCGCCGGACTAGAGATTCCAAGCAAACAGCTCAAAATGGTTCTCAGAGAATCCGTGTAAGGGTATGCGGGCAGGCCGACTAACATTTGCATCAAATCCGCCCACTGGCCGGGCGGGGCTCAATAACCACTTGACAGTTTCGCATACCCACAACTTCCCGATGGATTATGTATGGAGTTCGGAATTTGGCTATGTCCACACAAAGATAGACCTACCCGATCATTCGGCAAGGAAACGTGCGGAATGCCACGACAGCTTTTTGGGACACGATAGACGTTGTCTCAGTAAATACTACACGGTGTAAGATCGCAGTACAGTACAGTCCGTTGAGTGCTTAACACCGTATGAAGAACATAAAAAAGGAGCCGAAATTCACCAACACAACACACGGAGCACATCCCCGATCGACAGTAGTGGGCGGTAGCAAGAAGGGATATCCTTGTATTCAACTCAGTCTTTCACAGGGAGCAAGAGGCATTCAGTAATAAGGCACAATTCTGATCCAGTGGCCGAGAAGACTTCCAAGACAGCTATTAAATGAAAATGATATGGATATGAAGATGTCCGTATCGAGGTTGTCGTATGCCTAGTTTATCACTAATGGCCTTATGGATTGCAAATGATAATCGGATACGGAATTTGCAGTACAACGATCCTCCATAAAGACAGAGAAGCATTTGGAATGACAAAGTCCTTCCACACACGAGATGTACATTTTATGAGGGCAGCCTCTGATAAAGAAGATAAGTGTTCAGCAATAACACCCTTTCGGTGCCTATCTGCCATGTCGCCAGAAGGAATCACGAGGGATGGGATACTGCCAGGTTGCCCAAGCCTAGACAGGGGAAGCAGAGATGCAGAAGTCGGGTTCGAACCACGGACCTTTCGGTCAGTAAATTCACGCTCTAACCACTGATCTGTCTCTCTCCTGACCTGATTTCGTGGTTGAAACTTCCTCTATTCCATCCAGAAGTATTGTGCTAATCAGAATTGACGTGAGCTTTTTTAAGAAAAGACAATGAGTCCGACGTCTAACGTCTCATAGTAATTTGAGGGAAGAAGATTATGGTCATAGGAAACCAAAAGACGGGAGGACTAATACACGCACACAGAAAATCATCTTCACTGCACTAATTTAGGGGGTAGACAAAAAGACACAAGACCGACAGACCTGAGGAGAAATCTGTTACGGGCAGCATGTGGTTAAAATTCTCTGCCGTCCCATTCGTATGGGGATGCGTAGGAAGGTGATTAGTTACAGCAGCGACGGAGCTCGTTGGGGTAGTGATGTCATTCTGGTAATTGGAGGAGGCGGGATGGGGCACTGGCTGGAAATTGAACGGAAAAAGTATTTTGGAAAATTTTGGCGGACAATACCGAACAATTCGAAATTAAATCAGTTAAAACGAAGGAGCCCTGCTTAAATTACGTAGCAGACTAAGTACAAAAGTGTATATACAACAAAGTGGTGAGAACCAAATGTCGGGGGCTTTCAAGCCAAATCATGGCCTACAACGAGAAGGGCCACAATGAACACGGTAGGTAGTTTAAAGTGGACCACCATCAATTGCTCTCCGGCGTGCGTGTTAACTACATTAGTAACGTGCAGACCGCCCGCTTTAGATGAACTTCTATACGTTGTCCTGTAGAGTGGAGGTGGAATCATCATCATTATCAAGATGAAGAAGAACCGCGGACTTCTCATACAGTGGTTGAAGCTGTCACAATTTCGTCCACCGATGATTCGGGGAGGTCGGGTAAGTAGCTGCTTATTGGAGGTGGGAGCTGATAAATTGGTGCTCTCGGTGGACTTTCAAGTGGGGAAGGCAGGAAGGGAGCTATGCACTGAAGGCAATAGCATGGATGAATGGGCGCCATTGACAGGGCCATGCATTGAAGGCAATAGCATGGATGCATGGGCGCCATTGACAGGGTCATGGCTGAGAATGTTTCTAACCCAACCAGAAAGGTGGTAATGACCTACACAGCTCAGTTTGCTGTTAGTGGCTTTCACACTTCGCTGACAAGTCGTTGTTCGACCTCCCTTGGCCCGGTGGAATCCTCAGTTAGTACCCGTCTTACTTAGTTGCTTCTATCCGTGAAAACTAAATTGTCCCCGCCAAGTAGGCAGGATGAACACGTGTTAATTTTCAAAGAGTGATTGCGGAAGTCACAGAAGTATTGCTCTGCCCCCGTGATGATGACTACTCTCCGTCACACTATAACAGCACGAGAAAACATGACTAAGGGAGAGAAGCGGGAAGAGGTTATGTGAGCCACATACTAGCCTTGGAACGGAATGAGATAGCACCATCAAAGTTGATTAGGAAGAGGATATTGTGTAAGGTACTGAGCACCCTATTTGTGGAATCCAAGCATCACTGTGAGATGCATCGGCTCGGTCACGTGCTACGTATGTTCGGTTGTATTCCACCAAGAAGTGCGCTGATTCCCAATTTAAATCTATCGGTCGAAAACCACGAAGTGAGTAGAGTATAATGCGGCGAAAACTCCAAACACTATGGATGCTGTCCACCCTCTGTGACGGGGATCATATGAACTTTCTTGTGCATGGCTGGAGACCACAATATATGAAAGCTGATCAGCTTCAATTAAATTTGTGCTAACAATTTCTAGCCGGACTGTCTAGGTGAGAGATTGAAGTCACACATAACTCGGGTGTTTGTGGCAGGCTAAAAGTAGGCTTCTTGTGGGGCTTAATTTGGATATACTGACATGTTTCCATGGTGGTGGTCGTTAGGGTGCAGAAATCCAAGTTCGAATTGACTGGCCATTGCTGTGAGGGAGAAGTGGTTCGTGTAGAGATATCTCTAATGAAGCATATTTACAAAGTGAAAAATGAAAAAAATACACCGAAACGGCTACCGTCACGGATTAGTCTCGTGGATAAGCCACACATGAAACACCGGTTCTTCAGTGTGATACAGAAAATTATTGCGCCACAGATGGGCTGTGGTTGAAAGAGTGAGTCATTGGTGTGCGTGTGCGTGTGTGTACGTGTAGACACACGCGCGAAATTGCGGGTTTCTGTGACATTGATCGCACGGTCATTCCGGCGACCACAAGTGTCGAGATTATCATTCTAATAATGTCACTGTCGTGGATGCGTATCGCGGCTGAAGAGGTAAACAAACTAACCAGGTGAAGCGTCACCGTATGCAACTAAACAAAGCCCCTCGAACGTACCAACAGTGCTGTTGCAAAGTCACTCACAACTAGTCACTTTGGTTACAGAACACGGACACTAAACACAGCAGTGTGTGAAGAACAAGGAAACGTGGGAAACGAAGAGACTCGAATAGAGCGTTGTGATATAAGCTTTGGAACTGTGGAGTTACGGTGTATAGTGGTCCTGGCTGGGGCTTCGAGACTACACAGTACGCAGCGTACGCGTGCATACCACTGACAAACAGTTTACCTATTCGGCTTTTCAGCATAGACCAAAGTAGGTTGTAAATCCCCGATTGTGCTCAACACTACCAACAATCTTTGCATAACTGTGACACCCTACGTTCTACGGATTGTGACAGAGAAGCAAAACTGAGTGTTGCATTCCCCTGATATTTGTCTAGCGCTGTTGCACACAAGCTACTTAGCTAACACTTGTGAAGAAAGCAAATTGAAGGTTTACATCTCGCAACCGGCGAGAAGGCCATGAACAGCAATTGAACGGACCTAGTGAGAGTCATTTGGATATGCAAGTTCAACTGCTGTATCTTAATAGGATACGGAACATCATTTCGAATGACGCCTTAGGATTAATCACATGGCCCCTCCGTGAGTGAGTGGCTGCCCATAGAATACCGCAGTTTCGGACGCTTAGCACATTCCCTTAATAGTGCGCTAGTGACTGGGGCAACGAAACACGACGGGTAGAACCGTCCAGTCACGAAGCCTCAGGTGGCGTCTTGTCACTTTGAAATCAACGGTTTGAGTTCGTAAAGCTGGGAGAGAGACCCCAGAGTATATTTCGCTAAGGCTGTGTCCTTAACTAAAACAGAATAGATCTGACTGCCTAAGTTTGTCACACCACTTATGTGATCCGATCTCGTCAGTGCTAGTGGATCGCTCCACGTCACATCTAACACAAGAGTTAGAACACGAAAACCCGGTTCTTGAATGAACATACTGTGGTAAGACTGCTATGGGATGGTCCGGGGCCTAACCGTTGCAAACCGGGTCCCGAGGCCTCAGAGGATAAGTCGTCTTCGGAATCATCTGCGAATTCGAGTAGAGGGACAAAGGGGAGGTGAAAAAAATGAAACCATTATTACCATATCGGGAAACCGGGAGATGGCAAATAAACGGAAAACTGCACCTCACACGCTCAATCTTTCATACAGGAGAGCAATAAGGGTAACCACATAAGCACAATAATCAGACGATCGAGAAGCACCCTACAAACTTCGACAAATGCACTCATTTGCATACCACTTTGTTTTTCACGAGGCACTCAAGTGAATGATATACTTCGACTGAACGTGCAGCACAACGGCCACCTCATGTTTCAGTCGAGATAGAGCAGTATAGCCACCTCATGTTTCAGTCGGTACGATAGTCGAGATAGAGCAGTATGTTTCCATAAAGGAAACTATTCACAAGGTTGCTGCAGAGTTAGCGTTTTCAGCAACCTTGTGAGGTCTGCAGACTGTTTGCAGGCTCGAAATTTGTAGTAGGTATTTGGCTCCCTGATGGTTCTTAATGAAATGTTTGAAAGCAAACCGCCCGAGACGATAGATCAATTGACGGCTATTATCACTATCACTATCCTATCACTATTCTGTTCAACTGTAAATCTGGTTCCCCCGGTCAACCTTTGTTCTTCTTACAAATAAAGTGGCATGGTTGATACCGTTGTCAAAGACGACTTCCAAGCATGGTGCAACCAGAGTGTAATCGACAAGAGAACAACGTACGAGGACCGGGCGTCATAAAATAACCCCTCTGTAAAATTCCTAGTCAACGGAAGGAGTTTTTAATCATACCATAATCTCACCTCAGAGGTACTGTACCTAAGACGACTGATTGCGAACGTTGCAGCGAAAATTCGATAAACAAAAGTGGAAAAGTGGCTGTCACATCGGCGTACTGTCGACTAGAAATCTGATCTGATTCAAACGATGTTTCCTGCACTTGATTGGGGGCGTTACATGGTACGAATATCAGTAAATGCCAACCTGATGTACAGATACTTCACTACGCGTTCAGAGACACGAATACCATGGGAGATATGCGGGGGCATCACTGCACGCACTCAACTTTATCTCCTGTACTTCATGCACGGGAATTTCTGGTGGTAGGTGGCTTAAATTCTCATCCGAATGTATACCACCGTCCAACCTAAACTCATGTGGATTACCCATCCGAGTGCTGAGCGGGGTGGATGGTTTTCAAGCAGCGATAGACAAACGCCATGAACTGAAGAGTGGACCGATAGAAAATTGAATTTCGTGATCCGACATAATCATGGGTTTCTCGCGACTGGTTGTATCAGCACATACAAGCCTTGGATGGCGACCAGTTACATATAAGAAACCCTAAGCTAACCGTAGCCAGCACGCACAGTCAGTCATTTTACGACCTGGCAGAAATGTTACAGCTTGCTAACTTGTGAAACACGTAAATGCCTTGAGAAACGGTTGATTCAGCAAGGATATGTCCAAAACTGCTGAAAACGTGGGAATTTCTAAAAGCATCGAACATTGGGTTTCGATTTCTCTCACATATGCAGAATAATACGAAGCAAGTTAAGGGTTTGAAATGCCGAAGGTGGAGTATATTCTTCTAACTCGATGACACGATGGTCATTTCGTGAGCTGCGGTGCTAAGGATAAATAGTTTGCAAATGGGTATATGTCACTCACTACTCGTTTCTTCATTCGCCAAGCATTAATGTGCATGGACAGTGTGCCCCTCCACAAGTTTACTTCACAGGATTATCGTTATCCCTCGATCTACAAGGCTGACTGGGGGAAACAGTTGTTTGTAAATAGCATTGGTTTATCCACACAAGTGATAGCGTAGCTAAGACTTGGATGGAGAAATAAGGGTTAGTTATACAGGATTGTGAATAGAAGCATGGTAAATTAATCTCCAACTGGCACCTGTTTTCGGATTCGCCTGAGACATCGAACCACGCAGATGGATATCTGCACAGGATGAATCGCCACATGTCCTGAGCCACCAAGGAGCATACAGTCCCCAAAACATAGGCGTAAGACCTGACCGCGGAATAGGGACGACATCAAAATGCTGCTACCTAGTTTCTAACCCAACCTGATGCTTCGAAGGAACTTGCAAAGCGACGAGACCAGCAAAGGTAAAATCACGTCCCACGACCTGTATGTGCGCCTACCTCGTTTAACTATCGATTCAACACAACAATCAGCTCGTTTAACGAAAATGCAATGTGATGACTCGCAAGCAGCCAAAAGTAATTGGCGCACGGAACAAAAAAGAAAATGCCAGTGAAAATGTCAAGACTAGCCTAGCCTTGGTGTTGTCCGGAAACGTCGCCGCGTGGGTAGTGGGAAAGTAAAACAACGCTGGTTATAGGGAAGAGCTTGTCAAAGGCAATCGTCACTGGGATGCGTCAGGCCATATAGAAAGTTACGTTGGTGGGTTGCGCATGTGGAGCGTAATTAGGAGTTGAGAAATGAATAGGTTATGCAAAAGTGGAAGAGGGAGGGATGACAGTAGACGCAGTAGGAGGACAGCAAACGCCAGTTCTACTGTCAGAATTCACTCTTTTTCCTATCGATTGCCACACGTTTGCGTGGCGCTAGATTTCCTGTGTTAGAAAGCAACGGTAGTGCGTGAGGGAACAATAGTATGTAACTGTGAACTGCCTGATAATAGAACCTATTTAGTGGATAGTATCATGGGAAGGAAGCACGAGAACACAGACAGTGTCAGGTCGCCCAAGAGCCGACGAAGGACGAAGTAGCTAACTAATTAGACATGGTAAACTGAGCTACTTCAAGCTCTTAATGATTGAGTCGGTGATGGGTCTCAACCCCACTCAATTGTGGGAAAGGCAGACACTCAAAACTGATGTTTGGTCATAGTTTTCACTCGGTTCACGGCTGATATAACCGATAAAGGAATACTCAACAAATTTGGAATAAACTCGCATGGACAGTTCACACTCTCATCTTTGTGCTACCTTGAAAATGACCATAAATGCTGCAGCATTCAATCCAAAAATGACTACCAAGTGTTCGGTGACAAGCTTTGGAGTTGAGGTGCTCATCTAGTAAGAGCATGTGAAGCTACCGTGAAACGGAATGATGAATCTCTCTGGTTAAGAAGTAGGAACGGTCGAAACCGCATGTCAGACTGCGAGGTCAGTTCCTGACCTCTTCTAAAATGTAAGCTACATGATAAATCCTATGCAGCTTATAAGCAGTCGCTTCGTGCTAAAGTAAAAAAATCGATTGGCTGTAACACCCTTTCGGTGCCTAGCTGCCGTGCCAACGGAAGGAAACATAAGGACAGAGATACTGCCGGGTTGCTAAAGTGTAAAACGACAGATTAGCAATATACGAACATTTCATTAATTAAGTTGCATAGGTCCATCCGATCACGCACACAAGAGGTGGGAGCCTCATGCTTATGGAAAAACTCTTTTGGGATGCACCTCTCACATTCCCCACAAAAATTGACGAGTGTAGCAAACCAGATGACCAACACGCTCGAACTGAAGCACCTCGGTTAATCTATAAATTTCTAATTCATGTTATCTGCCTTCGAGAATCCAATACCGAGTTCACGTCACCTTCCGTTTATTGTTGCACTCCAGTAAAATGTATAACCGGAATCAATCCTCTTTGATAAGCTAGCCAAGTCTCACTGAGTTATATGCTGCAGCGTTTGAAGGCATTGCCCTTTAGCAACAGGGGCAGTTGCTCCTTCAGGCCTCTCCCTCATCCATATCCCTGACCGTTCTCAGGTTCGTGGCCATTGGAGACGCGTCTGCCTTTTTCTCTTGACAGTCCGAGCCATTTGTGGGAAAACGGAGACCTTCGAACATTCAGTCTGAAAACAGAGGCTTACTTGGGGCAACACACCCCGGACTTT